TTCAGCTCTCTCAGCTGTGATGTTATTGCATTATCCATCCTATGTCCTAGCTATTTGACAGACAGATGTTTTCATGTTCAGCAAGCAATGGTTAGCTTGCATTTGTCTTGTCATAAGCAATGGTAAGTATAGTTGCGATGGGATGCCGTTTCAGCTGTAGGCCGACTTTGTCACAACACTCCCTTTTTTCCCTGACACCCTTACTGCCATTAGAGTTAGATTTAAATATCCTCTTACGCCAGGTCAGGCAGTGTATGTCAGCATCCTTCTGCTTTATGCACCTGCACCTGCTTCTTATGGAAATCAGGAAGAATTAAAAAAGGAAAGCGATGGGAAGGAAGTCAATGGGAGCCTTATTAGTCACGTATTTTCCTGACATAGAGTCAGTGAATGCTGGTGCAGCAAGCACCTTGGTGTCTTTTGCATACTCTTTCCACCTGATGACTGAGGAGTCCAGGCCACCTTGGGCCTTCTGTGGGCAAGTGAACATTTGGGGGAGTGTATCCCTGGTTAGTATCAAGTATTAAACAGCTTCTTGGTTCCCTCAGTGGAGGAAGAGAGGAGTACACCTACGGAGCAAGTCCTTTTCCCTGGGTAGGTCCCTGAGGCAGAGCAGATGAATCAGCTCTTCTCTCCACTGGCTAAAGGCGAGCCTCCTATTCTAGGTTTCGAACTCTTTGAGAGATGAAGAGGACTCCTACACTTAGGCAGGATGTTAGAAGGTCATTTCTAATCTTCAAAGGAGAAAAGAGCTGGGCTATCCTCATTGATAGAAGTAGAAGGTTTAAACAACTTATGTGAATTCAGGGTGCAACTTGTTCGATCCTGAGTAAACTACATGGTGAGGGTGCTTGACAGCTTGAAGATGTAGTCTATTCCTACCAGACCCATTCTAATCCATCTGTAAATGACAAAGTAGGTTGGAAATTAGGAATAACCCGGTAGGAGAGAATCATTTGCCACAGCCAGAGACTTTCCGTACAAGCTGTAACACAAAGACTTGAATAACATGAAAATACATAATGTGTTTGGATGAAATTATGTAACAATTGGCAATAAACATACTTCCACAAGTAGAGCAATAGCTATCAGTAGGTTACGTGCTGTATGTTTCTTTATTGTCACATATTCCACAACTGATGTGTTGAAATGTGTGTGTGGTGTGCATGTATTCATTAAATTACAGAGGTGGGTAGTACAATTTACATAGCTCTTCCAGAGACTTAGAAAAGAATATATCCTCTTCAGGCAAATACAGTGATCTGCTCATCAATATTTCATTGGCACATGACTCAGTGCAACACAATTCTCATGCAACTAATAGAGCAATGACATGAGGTGGTTCACATACTTAAAATGCTTCATTTTCTTCTTGGATTATGCCCACAATTCTACATCATTAACTATATGATGTAGAATTATATGTAGATTATAAGGATGACATGATAATGTAGATTATATGATGACATAATTAGCCAACATTTTGGGACTATGAGAAAACATGCGTACAAAATTATTATAATCCCTCACGTCTTTTGGAGGTACTGCAGTATTTTCTCATCCTCAGGAAAACCAGAGCACCAAAACAATTCATTTTTGGGGTTACTTATATATTTTTTAAAAAGTTATGTGTTCATTTCGGCTAAGATATTTCATTTGAAGACTCTCACATGCTTTTTCTAATTTGTCCTGTTTCATTCTAGGACTTTCCTTCCTATAATTAGATTTTTATGAAAAAATTTCAAACCTGAAAAGTGTCATTTTATTCACCTACTAATCATCATGTTTCATTTTGATCAATGAAAAGCATTAAAATATCCTGCGAAGTTTAAAATGATAATACTGCTTAAACAAAAGTGATCCTTTCTCATAAATGATAATACTGAATAACCAAAAGTGATCCTTTCTCATAAAAAAATGCTTTTGATGAAATGCCATCTTTCTCCAAAAGAAGAGTATTTCTGTCCAAATCGAATTCCTGTCTGGGTGTTATGTGTGATAGATGGCCAATGGCTTGTTTCTTCTTGTTGCGGTGTTACTGCCAGCAAGAACCGTACTGTCTCTCCCTGATTGAACAATCCGGTCCCATGCTGTTGTCATTTGCCTACATATGGTGGGCTCACCTATGTCTCCGTTTTTTTGATGTCTTAGCTGAAACCTCACCTGCAAATTTCTGGCTGGAGGAATGGCAGATGGAATTAAATTATCTGATGCTTTTGGAGAAAGGTGTGAGCCAGAACAAGTGAAGAGCTACCAAAGAATTTAATTTCACAGGCCGTGCCAAAAGAAATGCTTAACCCTTTCCACAAACAGGATCAGGAAAGAGGGGCAGGGGAGGCAGATCTTGCCCTGAACCAAGACGAAAGAATTTCAGAACTTGGCATTTGCGCCAGTAAGTTGGTACCATAGGATCTGTTTTTTCTTAATGTCCTTTTAAAGTGAAAAAAGTGGCAGGCTCATTCCAGCGTGTCCATTGCCCCATACTGCAGCTGTCCCATCAGATTGGCCGTACCCTATAAGAACTAAGGTCTATCTAGCTCAGTGTCCTCACCCTGAGCGCAGTCAGCAGTGACTTCCTAAAGAGAGGCTACAGGAACAGGCAGATGAGTGCAGCGCTCGTTCCTTCCTGTAATCATTAAGCTGCTGTGCTCTCTCCCAGCACACAGCAGCACTTGAGCAGTTTGTCTTCCTTCCGCAGTTTCCTGCAGCCTCTCTGTTTGTCTGGCAAGGCAGAGTCAAGCCTGCAGATGATAAACTGCAGTGGGAAAAACCTAGAGACTTTTGCCTGTGACTTCAGAGGGAGAGTGAGTGGTGGGCCAGCCCCCCAGACACTCTCCAGTCTTGCTGTGCACGTCGTTTTGCCTTCAATGCTGGCTGGTCCCGTCGTTAGAGCTTCTCTTCAGTTTTCAGCCCTGAGACTGCAAGTCACTCAAACGCTTCCTTTGCCTCAGATCTGAACTGAGACATCATTTGTCTTAAGTATCTTTCCCATGAAATCAGTCATGAGCAGCATCCACTGGGCATAAAAATCACAAGACAAATGTCTTTAATGACTGTTTTGGCTTAGAAGAAATGACTTTAGAGAACTGGGGTTTTTTTGTAGTTACTGGTCTCATCCTTGCAAGCTATCATCCTAAATCTGAATGATAATGGAGAAAGGAAGCAAAAATATGTTCTTTGCTTAGAAGAAATGTTTAGGAGCTTTTTGCCAATCCCAAGAGCCCTTTGAAACCAGAAAGTTGTGACAAAGCGGCAAGGCATTTTTTTTGGCTTTCCTGGTAAACAATTTGGGCTTTTCATAATGGAAGAAATAAAAAAAAATTAAATCATAAAAGAACATCTAGTATAGCGAGAGTACAGAGAGTACTAAGAGTACTAGTATAGCACTAGTATAGTGCTATTCAAATATGAGAAAATATGTAGGGCTTTGCACCAGCACAATCCTTTGATCTTTTCTGAAACCATATGTAATTTTCTTTTCAAAATGCTTATTCCTGCAAAGTGTTTTGCTGGCCTTTACAGCCTTTCAGATTAGTTAATTCATGGTTCCGATGCACTGAGAGCAATCTTAATTCAATTTGGTACTTTAATTAAAGTGAAGGAACAAATAAAGTAACGGCTCTTACAGAGCAATGATTTCAAAGTTGATTGACATGTCCTACTGTAGCAAATCTGAGTGCCTTTCATTTTCATCCCAAAGGTCTTTCCGGTGCCCACTGCCTCGCTAACGTAGCTGAAGTGAAGTGATTATAAATAATAAAGGAGTAGTTTACAGGTATTCTTGTTGCTGTAGCGTTGTATGTGACAGATTGACTTTTAGCATGTATAACGACAGCCTCTAAAATATCTGTGCACGAACTTCTGGAAATAGCAGCAACAATGAGAATTACTGAAATGTATGCAGGCTGAGGACTGAGTGGGTTGGTAGTGCGGAAATTTTGCTTGGTGATGCCTTGAAACTAGAAGCAGGAAAGAAAGTCCTGGTCGCTGTGGGAGCTGGGATATTGTAGCACTTCTCCCCTAGGTCAGATTCACTCAGGTAAAACTTCACTTCTCTATTCAGTCTAATGTTCTGAATATATAACCATAAAATGAGATTCTGGCTAATCATATAAACTCTTAGTTGCAAGTCTTCAGTTCTCAGTGGGAGTAGCAAATCTCAGCTATCCATTCTACTTGCAGGCTTAAGGATGTTTCTCTTCAGATAGAATGAGTCAGCTTTCCCCCCAGAAGTACAGAATTTGATGTGCAAATAGAGATAGAGTTTCTCATGAAGATTTGTTTTTACTGAGAGGTCTTTCTGTCCCATTTATACCAAAAGAGCAGGGAAGAAGATGTATAAAACATTTCCTATATGTGAAAGTCTAAAACTGTGTCATTTTCACTGCAGTCTGTCAATTTGTCTGTCCTGTCCTGTTTCCTTGCTTTCATTACTGCTTAGTTTTTTCCTGAAATTTTGCCACATCCGTGACCCTTCACTATAAATTGCTATAGATGCGATTTCAAAATCGTTGCTGATGATGGACTTCAATGTCAAATTTCTTAGCAGAACAAAGGAGGATCGATAGTAGTAAAATGCAACTCCCCAAATTTATTAGCACAGAGCGTGTAGTGCCTGTGCTAGGCAGATGCCTATATTGTCCCAAATTCTCTCTTTTGGCTGTTCCTGAGTGATCTGAGTACCAGACCATCTTGTCTTGTGCGAGTTGCTAGCCCACTGGGCTGTACTCAGGGGGAGCTTTTATGGGATTGTTAATTTTGATCTCTGTGTATAAGAGCAAAAACAGGCTTTTAACAATAGTGTGCATAGTGCAGAATGTGAGGGAACACAGGTTTGCTTGTCAGGGCTGGAACGATGCTCTGCTTGGAGAGTTCGGGATTGCTTAGCAGTGCGGGTTGCCTTGCCGTGCAAGGTTTTCCCTTGCCTGCTGTAAATACCTGTGTGCAATGGCTGGTGTCGCCTGCCATCCTGACGGACGCTATGCTCTCTCTTCCTGCAGTATGGGATAAAGAAGAAGGAAGAAAGGGAAGCAGAGGCCCAGGCTGCACTGGAAGCTAATGCTGAAGGGAGTCTGACTCGCCCGAAGAAGGCAATCCCTCCTGGCTGCGGCGAGGAGGAAGAGGAAGAGGAAGAGAGCATTCTGGACACGGTCATCAAATACCTACCGGGGCCCCTGCAGGATATGTTCAAGAAGTAATCACTGCAGATTGTCAGACTGGCACAAACAGTACCGCAACGAATTTCTCGTTTGCCCAATGGGGATATACAACCTTGCCATTCATCACACAGCCCTCCCCATCTCTGCCCTCTGCTGCTCACTAGGACGTCCCTCTGCTTCCCATGCCCCTCCAGTCGCCTGTCTCCCTTTCCTGCACCCCAAGACTCATCCAGTACCTTTTTTGTAAATAGTCACATCCAGTAGATGCCTCTGAATGGATGTAAGGATTATAAAGCTGCAGACTACACAACTTTTATTATAAGCCATAGTACTATGTATGTTAAATAAGCAACTGTACATTAAGCAGAAAAAAGGAACAGCCTCACATGTGTTTCCATCCAAAGCAGGAAGGAGTGTTCACTAAGTGTGAACAGTGGCCTCTTTAATTTTCCTTAGTTATCTTTTTTTATTATTAATATGGATAATAATCATTAGTTATTGTTATTAAAGTTCTTGTTGATTGGGTCACCCTAATCATTTGCTGTTGAGCATATCTCCCCTTAGAAGAGATGTCTCAGTTCTCCCATGGAAACAGAGCTTTTTAATTTTAATTTTAATTCCATCATCAGCATAACTAAGAGATCATTTGGGAAATAAACCATGTGTGACTTCAGTCTCTGACATCACTGAGATGTGAAAGAGCTGAGCTGTCTACCCTCAGTTGCTGGTAGAAGTTAAATGCCTCAGAATCTAAGCAAGAGTCAAGTTGCTTTGGGAATTAGCCATACCTTAACTTGAAAGAGCAGATTTGAGTCTAACGGGTGCCATCCTGAGAGCTGGAGCCACGCGAGGTGTGTAGTGCTCTGACAGAGCACTTCCCCATTCCTTCGAAGCCAACAGCCCAGCAGCCCTCTGGCATGGCTGGCTGCTCTGAGTAGCCAACCTTCCTCTTTCTGCCCAATGCCATATTCAGCAATGCCATTCCTGGCGGTGCTTGCAGGAGAGACATCTGGGCTCCTGCATACTGTTACTGCTGCATCCTGCTCCTCTGTGCCCCTGCAGTGCATGGGCGTAACAGATGCGCTGAACGTGGCCCCGGAGATGGAGAACTCCCGAGTTCACCTCTGCTTTCTCATGCTAAATTCCTCTGGTGCCTTGGGGAAGTTAGTTATTTTTCTGTCCCAGTTTCTCCAGCTGTAAAATATAGGTGTTAATCTATATCTACTATAAAAAGGATAATGTGAAGGTGAATTACATACTGCTTCTACAGTGCCGTACAGGAGCTAATTAGTATTATAAGGGTGTGTGGCACCCCTCGATGCTAGCAAGCTGGGAAGAAATCTCTCTCTCTGACCATTATCTTTGAAGCCTTTCCCAGACACAGGTTCAGCGGGTTTCCCTGTACAGATCTTGCTGGTATTGAGGAACTGTACAAGAAAAGTCAAATTACCCTGGAGCTGTTGACTAGCTAGTGCACACACAAACGCACAGACATACTCGTTCTTATGCATAGGCAGACTTATTTTGGACACAGCCCCTCATCATCAGGTATCTGACCTGTCATCTGAAGAGCTGATTTTGGAGCCTTTGCACTCTCTACTTCTCTACACTAGCTGGTGTGGGAGCATTACACCCTCTTGATCTCCCAGTCCTGTAAGAGAATAATAGTTTGCCTGGAAGATCTGGCATTGCCTGTCCCTATCATGGGAGCAATAAAGTTTCCTAAGTAGACGGGACAGATCTGGAAGCAAATATACACTTTCCATTGACAGTAGAAAGGAAAGCAACCACAAATGCTTAATCATATACCTGAAATTTTACTTCAGTGGAACTTGTTTGATGTACTTGCTCAGTTAAATTGAAGTTTGGCAGGTATCTAAGTACTTTCTTGAATTAGAAATTTAAAAAGATGCCTACCATCTTTTCGGGTAAGACGCAGCAATCTGCACCATATTTAAGGCAGTGAGCTTGTGAATTCTGTGCCTCTTATCAGCATCTCCCATAGTAGGGAAAAATTTTGATAAAAGAGAAGAAATATATATTATCCTCTTCCACGCAGTTCTTATTCAGGTATGCTAGTCCTTGCTGGTTCCCAATTGGCTTCAACCATCAGTTTCCATGAATCCAACGCAGAGGCTGAGGGAGCTGTACAACCTCCTGCAACTCAGTGCCAGCTGATAAACATTCAACTTATTTCAGTTTGGACTGACAAACAAGATACGTCCAATTCATGTGCAAGCTGTCAAGGGCTTCCCAGGGGAAAAAGCAGGCATGTTTTACTTTTTCAGTTTCTGTTAATGGTTTTTGGTTTTTTGTTTCCTCCCTGCCACACTTTCATTTAAAGCAAGGTGAATGTCTCCCCCTAAGACTTTTATAACCCAGAGCACTCTTTACCTCTGTATCAATGCTTGGGGATATCACAGCAATGTTAAGCAAATTATCATTTTCTAGGGAGAGTGTCCTGTTCCCCCCGTGCAAATTCAGCAGCCATGAATCTGAGCCCATTTGAAGCAGACCTCAAAGAACCAAAAAAATCTCTTTCTGCCAGGTAAGAGGCAGCAGCTCTTTTTGATGCTCTGCCAGGTAGGGAACTAATCCAATACCCACTGTAAGCTAAAAGGCAGATGGCCTAGCCTTTCGCTCCTGCCGCTCACTGGTGGTGAAGTCTCCTAGCCCAGATAACAGTGGCACAACAGCTCAGACATCTCCTGAAATGCTCCGGTTTCAGTCTCCTTTATCGTCCCATGAGTAAGCAAGATCAGCAGAAAAGTATTCCTGCTAGAAGGAACATATCCATCTGTATTCCTGTCTTGCCTTGCCCTGGAGAACTCTACAAGCAAGTAAGCAAAGGTGCCTGCAGAGTCTGCAGAGCATGAGGCCGTTCTGCTTGTCTTTGGCCTGTCTCTGTCCCTCGCTTTTCTCCCTTCCCTTGCCATGACCACAGACTCGTTGTCCAGCTAAACACCATTCCAGAGAGCTCAGGGCGGGCATATGGGAGCTGATGGCTTCCTTTTCAATTTTCCTTTTTTTTTTTTTTTAATGAAGAAATTTGGCAGAAGATGCACTGCACGCCCTGAGCACGTGTTGCTTGTTTTTCCTCCTCTACCCTTTGGCATCTCGCTTGGGGTCTAGGCCTGTCTCCAGGTTATTCTTCATGCCTCAAGTGCCTCAGCCACTTTTTAGGTGGCTGACAAGGCACACTGCCCTCCCTTCTCTGCCCAGCACCTTCATCACAGATGTGGACCTTCCAACACCAAGCACCCAGACACAGGTCACAGCACTTGCACAAGACCAAAGAGGAGCCTGGTTCTTTGTTTGGATTCTGACCATCTCTTTGTCTTTCCATACCATTGTTTTAGTTGTAGCCCCAGTTTGTTCAATCTCAGGTAATGACATCTTCTATGTTGTTGTTGTTGTTGTTATTGTTGTTACTATTATTATTGTTATTATTATTATTATTATTAATGCAGAAGGGTGGGTGGCTAGACACTGCAGCCATTTTCCTCCACAGCTCCAGGACCTCTCCAGTTAGGAAAAGAAAATAGAAAGCCCTCCAACTTTTGGAGGGCAAATAATTTAGTTTGACATTGACCTTTGTGAACTTACATCTATCTTTAGAGAAAGCCATATGAAATCAGACTGCAATATTAATTATGAATGCTACTCAGTGTTAAAAATAAATAAAACAAGTGACTAGACCATGTGCTAAATCACTCTCATGTTCCTCCATCTATGTTTCTATCACCATGTGTTGGCTTAGATCCTTCCCAGCCACTCTCCTTTGTCAAAAAAAACGCATACCAATGCTACTGAATACATCTCTTTGACAAGCTTACTGTGCTAGCAAAGGCGTTGTTAGAAATCAGCTCTTGTGACCTCAAGGTAATGTCTTATGTATCTGAAACTTGTCTATATCTGTTTGAATATATGTTATCAAGATACTGTTTCTTCGTGTGCTGAGTTAGTAAAATGTTTCAGTAACTGTCTCTAAAAAATTGCTTGTTTTCTCTCTTTCTCTTACACACACAGAGCAAAACTCAACCTAGCAATGCATTTTCTAATAGAAATGCTCCCCAGCTTTCTTTAAGATGCATGCAGTACCCTCCAAGCAGCCAGATGATTTAAAGTGGAGACTTTGTGAATGTAAAATTTACTTGTAATTTGCCTGCTGCTTTTTCCTGCATGAAGTAGGTAAATGATATGATGTTCTTAAAATGGAGTCACAGCCAAAATAAAGTGATTTCATACATTTTTTGCCATGCTTTCCTGTGAAATTCCTACCAGGCTACACTAGGAAATGAAAGTAATGTTGTTGGTTTACAAATATGATGGTGACAGAACTGAGGAGAGACATGGACATTATTTGGATAGATATGCTCATTTTTTTCACTTGTCGAAAATACTGATGTAAATATCACACCTACAGGTGATTATCATAAATTTTAAATATGGTTTTATTATTATGAATTAGTTTTCCTTGGGGAGAACAACATCCCTTTAAACAAAACTCAGGCCAGCATGATTTATACATGGTTTAGTGAGAGTACGTTTGAATCTTAAACGAAAAAGATGAAAAACGTTGTGTGCTGTGCCATCAAATATATCTGTGGATCTTGTGAGATAAACAAAACTCATGGCAGAGGTCAGTTGCACAGACTAGGGCTACTTTTACATGCTTAGAGACAGCTTAGAAGTCGACAAGTTCAGCATAAAAGCATTGCATTGGTTATAAAAAGAAAGAAACAAACATACCTCCTGTGTATGAAACACTGATGCTCTTTCCGCTAGGAAAACTCTGCAAGGGGGGGTAGACTGTTCTTGGGAATAAAGCTTCAGCTTTATTATTAAAAAGATAGATACAAGTTGATAATTGCAATGGCTGTGTTGGCGCCACATACCTTTTTCCTTTTTAAAAGTACAATTTGTCAGGTAACATATTCTCCAGAGAGGAATAAAACAAAAAGAAATTAGCAGGTACATCTTGACCAGTTCTAGCAAAGAAGTGCTTCATTTATGGAGATTCCCTTGATGATCCATTTCTCTCAGACACCAGTCCTAGGACACAACGATCAGCCTTCCTGCAAGCTCCCAGCCCTCATTGACAGCAGTAGGGGCACAAGCAACACGCTTGGATCAGATGTCCAGTTTCTAAATGGAAAAAGTTGGGTGTAATGACTTCCACTGTTAATTGGTGGTCCTGAGTAATTCCATCTCAGTTTCCTTTCTGAAGTACCATGGCGGATCCGGGCCTCATAAAGTTCTTTTGAACATGGGACTCGAATGAGGGCTTCTGTACGAAGCTAAGACAGTGCCGTTCTGTGTGTTGGCATCCTAGGAGATATATGGCCTCGGTAGCCTGGATTACAAAAATCTTAACAAAGGTTTTTAAATTCTCCCTCTCTCACTGTCCCCTCCCCCCCTTTTTCACAAAAAAAAAAAAAAGGTTACACTTACATTGTGATATTCCTTGTTGAAGGCAGCTCTGCTGCAGCTTGTCTCCAGTGATTTTACAGATGGTTTGAGATACGTGCTGAAAGTGCAACTGAAAAAGATAAATGGCTGGAACATGTGATCTCAAACAACTATTCTTTCTTCAGCCTTCAGCATTTAGAAGGAAGCTCTTTGTAGATTCCTGCTAGAATTGGAGGTGGCAACATTTCTTTCATCTGAGATTTTCTTTCCTCCAAGATTCTATTTTTCCATTAGAGGGTCAGATCTAGCAGTGCATTTGGGAAGCTCAAGTCAATAACTGAGGCTGCAGAGGATTTTCGAGTGACAAAGGGCTTCTATAAAACTTAGGTGTTGAAATGCTGGACTAGGAGTCATTTTGATCGCAGTAGGCAACCACTGCCTGACTAGAAACGTACTTTGGTTTTATGAAGTTTGTAACCACAAATATTTTAAAATTTACACAAAATGGAACATCATGTTTGCAATATGTCAGCTACTGGTCTAAGAAGAAGCCAAGCCCAAGCGAAGGCCAGGCTTCTTGGGAAGGGAGAATATATACTGACATAGAATAAAGGCAATAAGCTTTCATTATATTCTGCTTCAGCTTTCACTTGATGACTGCTGAAAATAACCAGAGTACGTGTACAATCACTTCAAATTTTATTATCTAAGCCATCATTCTGAGGCTCAAACCTGACCAAAATAGCACTCTTCACTAATCCAGTTTCATCGCCTGATAATCTGTGCATTTTCCGCGTGCAGGGACCAAATATCTAAAATAGCTGGCTTTTAAATTATCGAAAGTGGAGAATTTTTTCCAGGTCTTCATAACACATCAACAGCTGAATAGATGGTTGTCAGATATCCCTTCCTTAGCCACAAAGAATCCTTTTTTTTTTTTTTGTGAAGACCAGTCATGGCAAATCACAGACCTTCGGACGCAGGAGTGTACAAATAAATAAATGAATATTATCTGTCTCTGTGAAAAATATCTTGTAGCTGGAAATCATATGGGAGACCTAAGGATTAAAATGACCGCTTCAATTTTTTTCTAAGTCGTATTTGAAAATACTCTAGCATATCTGTTCCTGCTTGTGGACAGTCAGGTTACAGATTGAAAGTCCTTTTTTTTTGGATGATTAAATAGACAGCCGGGCTTCAGAGTGCTAAAGAGAGAGGAGAAATAAAGCATGCAGAGATTTTTCATGTAATTTTAGAGTATATCATTAGGAAGATTTAGCACCTACCTAAAACAAGACCCTTGAAATCCAGTGGGACTGCAGCCATGCTCAGTGTGGAAAACAGCCAGACGAGCTTAATAGGATACGACAAAAAGAGGAAAAATGAAAGGTCTATTGTTCAGTTAAAATCACGGGCTGGCAGATGGCAATTGCCCACGTTGGATTTTTTTTTAGGTCAGCTCACCACAGCTCTATGCTATATTCGGGGGGGTGGGGGGGAAATCAGAACAAAATATTCTAGTGGAAATTTCCTAGGTAAGCTATATGAGTTTTCCTATTCATTGAGGTTAGGAGAGAGAGCTCTGCAAGGACATCACAGTCATGCACAGGAATGGGCTGTAGAGAGAGAGACATCCCTATGGAGAGTATGACGAGATAATAATGCCCAGTTATTGAATGGAAAGAAGCTAGAAATACAGAGCTTTGGGCTTTGTTTTCCCCCAGCTGTAAAATAAGGATAAAGATACTAACCCCTCTTTCAGCTCTCCCTATGAGAAACACTACAAGATTATGCATGTCACTTACATAAACAGACTTCTCTGAGGACTTTTGTAACCTGTATGTCAACAGTATCCCAGAAATGTGTGCCGCAAAGACTCTTGGGAATGATGAGATGAAACAAATCAAAAAGCTGTGACTTACTGAAAATTACCGTAGGCTATGGCACCAGCTAAAGGTAATTACAGTAGCCTAGCAGAGAGTCAGGTACTTAGATGTGTTTATTTATCAGATGGGAGGTTACCTGCTGTGAAGTCCACCAAATGCTCACTGTGCTGCACTTAAAGTAAGTGTAAGCAGAGTACAGTGAGTGTCCCCTTACGCAGCTAACCATGCTCCAAGCAGCTTCAGTGCAAGCAAGGGGGAGGACATCATTACTTCACTACAATTAAATGTACAATTAAATGTCCAGTGGGAGTAAAACCGGCCTGTTGTTGCCTCTCTTTTTCCTTACGTGAACTGCTCTAAGCCTCTTTAAAGTTAACCTGCAAAGTGGCCGTTCTCCATTTTATCTCCTTTCCTGCTTCTCAGAGATTGTTGTTTTATACTCAAAAATTTGCTTTCTGCCCCATTTTCCTTTTTTTCCCCCAAAATTCTGAGACAAGAGAGCCCTGCTGCACATGATGCATGACACAGATGTAGCCTGGGTGCTAAATTAGCCTTCAGTAGTAGCGAGGTGTCAAGTATCTCACAAAGAGCTTTTCTGCCAGGTCAGGAAGTTGTCCGAACTAAGAGTATTTACTCAGTATTTTATTCACTTGAAATTATCATACCATCTCTCCAGGGAAAGCAATGAAGACAAAACTCTTGGTTTTTAAAAACAAAAAACAAAATACAAAAAAAAATCCAAAAAATGGAGAAAGAATATAACTTCTTAAGACTTATTATATATCAACAAATAATTCGAGAGATTAATAAAGAGTAAAAATCTTGCAGGTCTCTTCCTGCGTTTCTCCCAGCTGCAGCTCTGAGTGAGGGCTCAGGAGAGGTTGCTGTTAGCATGACAAGCCTTGCTGAGGGTTGAACATGTGCAGAGTTCATCAGCAGCGATATCCCACAGGGCCATGACCGGTAGCAGTCGCTGTCAGTCAGTCAGATGACTGGAAGTCTCCAGTTAAGATAGGATTCCCCATAAAAGCAGTTGGGGCTGCAGGACTGATACAAACAACAGCACATATATGGTACGGGAACATCATCCCAGGGTCAGGAATGTGGCACAGGCTGCCGTTAGGGCAGGAGCTCCATCCTGCCAGTTGGGGTCAGCTCCCCAGCTGGTCTCCTGTGCCAGGACACCATTGTCTGGTAAAGGGGACAGAAGGGAGAGCGATGGCATTGCACAGGGACTGTGGGTGAGCGGTTGTGTTAATGCACTCATTTCTACTGATGGCAGCAAAAAGCCTCTTAAACTCCCTGATTGGCCTCTGTCCAAAGAGAGGCCCAAATCTTATGACTGAGGTAAAGGCCAAAAGTGGGAGGAAGGGCATAAACACAGCAATAGTGGTGTGGAAGAACATGACAGGACAGGGAATAGCTGCTCAGCAGTCCTAAGGGATCACAGTGAGATATGGGAATTTACTGCTGCTCTGGAGAGGCAAGACCGAGGCCAATACTCAGCTCCATACCTCTACCTTTTCCATGGTCTGTGAGTCTCTCCTCCTGGGCAATCCTAACAGGGCTCCAGCCTGCTGAGCAGCGAAGGACTTGGGAGCACCGAGGAAAGTGCGCCCTGAGCCTGGGAAGCTCAAGGCTTCCCCACAGGGATCTCTAAAGTGCAGACCACAGATGAACTGTTACTGACTGTGTTCACTTCTTCTGGCAACTGAACTCTGCCACTTTCCCTGGCCAGCACATGTATGACAAGGCAGAGCAGCCAGAAGGCCCATTCCTAGCTCTGCTGATGTAAAGCATTGGCTCCTCCTCTCTATGGCTAATTCGTAGGATTGGTAACTTCTTTAGTCTCTTGTGCTTTACCCCACCCAACTCTGGTATATTAAGAAGCTGTTCTGCAGGCAGAGAATGAGCTGGTGGAGTATGGGTTGCAGATAGTGGAGAAAGAGACAGAAGGCTCTGCCTGGCCTTCATTTGCAGCTCTGCAAGCTGATATCCAGACATGCTCTGAGAGACCAATCTAGCAACTGCACAGTGCATCCACAAGTTCCCCAAACACCGCTGGCACACAGAAGGTCAATGGCAACAGCTGGGACCTTCATGCTTCCCTTCCTGTCCCTGTCTCTTCCCATGGTCCGGCTAACAGCATCCTGACTCCATAGTCATCAACAGGTTTGCTGGGAAGGCAGGACCTTCCCAAACTTCTAGGGATCACTTCATCAGGAAGGGAAATATGCAATCCTTGCCCACTTACGCTGTCACCTGAGCTTTCCTTGAGCCGCACACAAATGCCAGGGTGTTTCTTGTGCTTGGGAGCCTTGCACTTGCTTTGCCTGAGTGGAGGGCTTGAGATGAATACTACTCAGCCAAGTTAGCTACAGTTTTTTCCCAAAGTGAGTTCCTCACCCAGGCTTATTCATGTGTAGCATTTTCATGTGTAGTCACCACAGATCATTCAGATAAGTAAAGTCACAGCAACATCTGTCAGCTTGAATTTGAAGATAATGCACTACAGCTTCTCCCCAGTGTGCTGCTGTTTGTCGGAGAATGTCTGGCTGTGGTCCACCCTAAGTCTCTGCAGGCATTTAACACCACTCTGGCTCATTAATTGGTGGAGACTAAAGCTTAAGCCGATCACAGACTGTCTTGCTATCACCAATGGACTTTGGCAGGTGACAATGAAGAAATTCTATTCTTGTCTCTCCAAGGAAGCCATCCAAGATCAGGGACAGGGGGGAAACAACCATCTTCTTCAAGAGCATTAATTTTGCCTAAGCATTCCGTGCTATAGGGACAGGGTTATAAAAATGAGATGAAAAACGATAGACCAAAAAGAAATTTACACGTGTTAATGAGTCTGCAGTTGGCTTGGCGTTAGGGTAATTAATTTTAGTTGACTCATCAAAGCATGATCCCCTACCACCATTTCCCACTGGGTTCAAAGAGCTACTGATCTGAGAAAATCCTCCAATGTCTAGAAATTTGTTTTACTTAAACAAAAAAGGCAATACCCTCAAAATCAGGTCTTGAGTTCAAGGCATCTCTGGGCAGAACTGTGGACCTTTGAGCAAGCATCATCTTAACATGGCTATGTTACTTTTTCACCCTTCCAGGTAAGCCTTCCTTTACCAAGGTTTAATCAAAGCACATCGCGAGTTCCCTCAGAGACCTCCATACTCTGGCTTCACTGGAGGTCAGAGCAATATCCTCATTGCTGGTCATGGAAGATAACTTTCCCTGTCATTATGCTTTGCCACGGGAGCTCTCTGACTGGCCTGACCAGTTTGTGTGGGAACACATTTTGCTACCCTTGGCACAACTGGGAGTGCTATCTCAGCACTGCTAAGACCTAGCAGTACTGTGAGATATCACATTTTTGGCCAGCAGATACTTTGGTGTAAGACAGTCCTGCAAACTCCCACTTTATCTTATCTTAGAGTGGCAATCTCTGCTGGCTGCTTAGCTCCAGGTTGCACACTGGGTAGTTCCCTTTCAAGTGGTAGTCATGGTGCCAGCTGGCTACCTAAGGAGAATGACAGTACCTGTACCAGGATCTTCTCACCTTCCATTGACTCCCTGTATTGACGGAGAAACCCATTCCTTCAGGAACACAGGTGCCTTATGACTGTGTCATCCCCTTGTGCCATGCGGAAGCTGTAATCCAGCCAGGACTTGTGACTGACCAGCCACTGTCTTGTGACAGGAGGCACATGGAGGAGAATGTGGCATGGAAGAGCACATGGCTGGACAAGAAAGGGGAGGAGCAGATGGGACTGGGAGACTACTACCTTTCTCAGGTTGGTTGCTAAGGTCAAATCCCCTTCCAAAAGCATGTTGTTAGCAAACGCACTCCAGCTGAGCTGCACAGACACACTGCAGAATGAGCTGGTCTGGAAGATGCATGGCCATGGCCCATGACTGGGCCACGCCTCCCCCAGGGGGATTCTCTGGCAGCTCCCTGTTCCTCGCCTGTCATTGTGGTATTTTGCCAAGCAAATGTCTCTGTAGGAAGAAGAGCCACCACCATATACCTCTTTGAGTCCCCAGATCCAACATGGGTCCTCTTTAGAACGAAGGGCCCAGGAAGCAGAGAAAGCAACCTCCTTTTTTGGAGGGGAAATTACTTTCCATGGGAATATGAGATGTGGCAGAGCAGGGGATCAGGACATTCAGGAGAATGAGATTACTTCTGTCCTCAGAGCTCTGCACATTCCTCTGTGAACATTTCCTCCAGAGCCAGGAGAAAGTGGTAGACTTAACCTCCATTTAGCAATGCTTTCCCTTACCATCTTCCCAAAGACCAAATCCATCAATCCTCCCTGTGGTTACTCCCCAAGCTTCTCCTAAACTCAGCAAAAGCACAGCCTGCTTTCTAACAGCCTCACATTTGAACTGTAACAATTGAACTAATACCTTTTTTTCTCTTGTACATCTGCCTGTAGGTGCCTTGCCCACAGAAACCCCACA